CTTTCTCTTTCTCTCTCTCTCTCTCTCTCACGAGTTTGAACCCAGGGCCTTGGGCCTTGAGCCTGCTAGGTAAGTGCTTACTAAGCTACACGCCTAGACCCTGCTCTGATTTTTTTTTAAATGCAAAAAGAATTTAGAGGATAGTGATTATAGTATATACAATGCCATCTATGAAAAGGGAAGTCAAGGGAAGGCTTCTTGGGTATGATAATTCTAGTAAGGAGTTGGATATAATGAAAGAAAAAGCCTCAGGAAATTCTGGGGGAAAGTAAGTTGACAAGAAGATCACCTATAGGTAAAGATTTAATCAGCCTAACTCCTATACACAAACACTAATCATGAGGATGATGATAATGAGTGACAAAAGGTATGCTTATACTAGATTTTATACTAGATTTTAACAAACTATTCATTATAATTGGCATGACAGAAACCTTTGTTGTTATAACAGTTATAGGTTAACAATGAAAGCTAGGTATGAATTCAAAATGATTTGGCAGAATTAGTACACAGTCTACTCCTTCTAGTTTTAAGAGCTTTTTAAAAGTAAGAAATATGTGTCACATCTCATTTGTCTTTTCACCATACATTAAAACAAAAGAGATTCCCACAAGTTTGTGCTTCTCAAATGGTTATGCTTAAGAATCATCGAAATGTGTAACATTTTACAAAGATTCATAAACTAGAAAAAATGTGTAAGCAGTAAAATTGCAAATATATATATTTTTAAAATTCTACAAGTTGGTTGGATTTTATTTTTATAAAGATTCCAAAAAGACAATAACTATAACAAGGAAAATATGCTCATATATGCCTATGATTAACTTAATCTGGTTAAACTATTGTAACAACATCTGTATTATGTATAACATCACTTTTATATTTCAAAATATCAAATAGAGCATTCTATATATAAAGTCACATAAATGTACAGGCACCTCATAAAAGGTCTTTATTATCAAAGGAGGAGCTCTAAAAAAATTACTTACCAATTTAACTAGCACACAATATCAGAGAGAATACTTTCCTAAATGCCTCTACAGTCATACAGATGAAGCAGCAATAGTTAGCTTTTATGCTATATGAACAGGGTAAATCAGAAATTTTGATTTTTAACTATTAAACATTTTTAAGTGTATATAGTTCAATGACATTAACATACTGATTTTAATCACTTCTGCAGACATCAGAATAAGATATTTATTGAATGAGTTCTACTTAAAGAAATATTAACTCAAACCACTGCTTCAGCCCGTTCAAAAACTTCACACATAAAGTCTATTATTAACATCTCATTAAACTGGCTTGAAGATTCACTCAACCACTAAGCAGTTTTTTTTTAAATTACAATTAAAAATACTTTTTACTTACAAAAAGAAAAAATAATAAAATTGTCCAATTTATTTGGTATATTAAAATATTTTTCTTTATAAGCTTTTATAAAGAATGAAAATAATCATTATTTGCAGATACTTTACCTAGAAAATCAAACAGAATCAAATGAAATGTTATTAATAATCATATTAAGAGCAATATTAATCATTTCTTCATCTTAAAGTTTTACATATAATTATCCATTCAGTCCTTACAACAACCCATGAGTCACCTACTATTGTTCCGATTGTAGAAATGAGAAAACAGATAAAACAGAAATCGAGTAACTTTCGCTACTAAACATAGCCAGTAAATCATGAAGCTGAGATAGAAACTTATATAGTAGGGACTTCCGAGTCCCACATTTCCAATAGCTTAAAAAAAAAAAAAAAAAAACTAGTAAGAGTTTTGTAAGGTAGTTGATTATGAAATAAATATTTTTTACAGATTAGTAAAAGTCAATCTGAAAGATGCAATGAAAATAGCAACTATAAAAGCCTATTTTTTTTTTTCCTTTGGTGGTGCTGTGGATTGAACCCAGAGCCTTGTGCACAAGAGGCAAGCACTCTACCAATTGAGCCCAAAAGCCTACTTTTTGAAAGCCCAAAAGAATAGGATTAAAAGGAGAGATCCTTCTAAGGAAGGTAAACATTGGCATTTATGTGTAGTAGTCAAAAACATTTTTATGGAAAAAAAGGGATGTATAAGACTTTACCTAATATGTTAAAATAGTCTTTAAAGCTGAAGCTACAGCAATTGGAATAGTAGCTCTGACATGGAATCAGTATGATAAATAGACCAAGGGTTTAAAAAAGACCCAAGAACACATAAGACACTAATATATTAAAGGGAATATTTTAATTAGTCATAAGTGAAAGGTTCAGAAGTGGACAAATTACTACCTGTGAGCCAAATCAGTACACGGACAGTTTTTGTAGGATGTATAAACTAAGAATGGGTTTTACAATATAAATGATTATATAATACCTTTGATTTTTTCCCTTAATTCACAAAGCCTAGTTTCTATGTGGTACTGTAAGTAAAGTTTTCTGTCCCATGATATAAAGCATAAATAGTGCTGAGACAACTGGATAACTTCACTAGGGAAAAAATGTTTGAAACCTTACAATACCAGTCCTTAAACCAAAATATTTTTCTTAAACCAAAATATATTTCTAATGGAAATAAGCCGTAGGTGAAGAATTTTTTTAAATTACTAGAAAAAGCTATCAGTAAAGGTCTTTCTAAATATTTTGAAAACTGAAACAGTTTTAGAAAATCCTATGATCCCATAAAGAAACAGAAATATCTGAGGAGACATGTTTAATCTGATTTTATCCATGTATTTGTTAAAACAAAACTTTAATTTAAAAGAAGAAAATGAGCAAAAAAGATTGAGGGATCACGTTGAAATCAAATGAAAAAAATCTGAATATTATAAATACCATAAACTAAATTAAAGGTGAAAAATACAGAAAAATATTTTTGTATCAAATGACAAGAGGTTATTAACCCTAATATGTGGAAAGTAATAACAAGACTCATTATCAACAGCAAAAAAGGAAATGATAGATAACCCACACAAAGAAATATAAATGGCCAATAACTATAAGAAAAAGACAACCATGTGTTCATGTGTGTTTGTGCGTAAAATTAGTGACATTAATCTACATTAAAACAATAAACTTATTTTCTCTATTAGCAAATAAAAGGTAATAGTTGTATTAAAGGAATGAACAGTGGTAATGAGAGTAAAAATAAGTACAAAATTTCTGGTGGAAAATGTCAGTATGTTCTAGAAATTTTAAAAACTATAAAATTTTTAATGAAGATATTTGAAGTATAAAATCAAAATTCTAGAAATTATTCCTGGTAAGAATGAGTAATTTTAATTTTATTCTTCTCATCTGTACTTTCACAAATTTGTAGTTTCCCTGTCTTTATCAATAAGAAAAAAAGAAACAGTATCAGCAGCAATTTATGAGGTAGCTACTATGTTGTTATCACCACTTTATAGATGAAGAAACTGATGCTTGAAGAAATTCTTGTTAACAGGCAATCGGGAATCAAACACGTGTGTATTGCTTTAGAATCCAAGTTGTTAATTGGTATGTCATAGTACCTTATTAATAAGGTTAAAAATCAAGTTTCATAGAGTAAACCAGGATGAGTAACTTCTGTGAAAATCAACATGATTGAAATGATAACCAAAATATTTGAGTATAAATGTGAGTGCATGTACTAATTCTGATTTTAGAACTCACACAAATGCAGTGTTTCTGCTTTCTAGAAGACAGGCATTTCTCTGAAATTTACCTTCTACACATGCTCTATTTTAGATTTCTGTTTGAAAGCTTCATATCTTCCTAATTTAAAATAAATGCTTTTTAATCTATAGAATTTTACTACCATTTTTCTATCAAACTTAAATCTCACTAAACCATCACAATAATACACAAGTCATAGCTTCACAGTTTCTGTAATACTATCAAATATACATCCCCAATTTTAATCTACAAAGTCAACATTTAAACATAGACATATGTGTAAATAATAATTCAAATATAATTTATATCAAATAATAAATAACTAGAGTAAGAAAACAGCAAGCAGAATATTAGATGACATTCTTCCATAAGCTATTAAAGTGCACACTAATTATTAACCAAGCCACCAAACACATAATTTGAAAAGAGTCCTAATAAAGCAATTGATCAGTTTCCAAAATGACAATTTAAAAAAACAGAATTAAAAACAACAACAAAAAACTAAAATCCTATCTGAAACCTAGGTCAAGCTAATTTGTGAAATTCTAAAATGACAGTTATTTACTAGTAATAGATTTTAAAGAAAATGAGCATCACTGTTACAAATCGTAGAACATTATAAGTGCTTTAAACTAGTAAAAATCTCATTAGTTTAATAGAGGAGACTGTCACATAGAAAGAATATTAGGAACATCAAATATGTAAAGTTTTGAAAGAGGAAAAGGATTGGATAGGTAAAAAGTATAAGACAACTGCAACTAGTATGACATAGGTATAAATTATAACTTAAAATGACTTAATATAATTCAAAATTTTATTTTTAAAAATTTTACCCATTTGCTAATTATGATTTCACTGTATTCTAAACCCCGTAATGGGATTATGTCTCTATCTCATCTACTATATCCTGAATGCAGTGTGTCAAACATTTTTATCCCCAAGGATGAAGAGAGAAAAAAATACTCTATTTAAGGTATAAGCCTAAAGCCAGAAAATTGTCCATTTTATGCTTGCCATTTTATCTTCAAATCTATGCAAATCTGTTCTCCATGTGTCCATTAGTTTTAATACAAAAGTTACTTCCCATGTTAAACAAAAAAACAGATGATCTAAAAGTCATACATACAATGTTAACACTAAGTCTTTGAGTACTTCCTACCACACTACTATCATGTCCCAAGGTAAGAACCATAGGGCAATATGTTTCCGGGTTAGAATCAAAGTTACTTGTCTTTGTATCTCCAAAGCCTAGCACTGTGCCTAACACTCAACCACACAGAACCCCGCAGTTTACATGTTGCTTTGCAGGAACCCAGAAACAGACACTGGTGAGTAAATACATGCAAACAATGAACTTACATCTTTTTCTGACCGATGTGGGAACATAGAAGACTGGCTGTAGTACATGTTTTCGTCATGGTAGTCACTGTCGACCCCCTCTACAAACTTCTTTCTTGAAGCACCAAACATGCTGTTTGTCACCTAAACAAAAATATTACTTTTATCAAGAATAGTATTTTGAAAAGTGTCCACAGCTTTACCTTCCAAATTAAGAGAATACTATTGAGATTCTGAAGTAGAACAACTAAGGGCTAAATGGGCTCATGATAAAATCTGACTATAACAACACAGCATTAGACATTTAGTTTTAAGTCCCCAATGTAAAAGATGAATCTTAAAGCCTGTCTCATGCAAGAGTTCTGCTTACTTTTATTAAGGAATTTAATATCACTCTTGAAAAATAACCCCAAAGATAATTTCCCATAGATTCTTTTTAAAAGTTTAAATTCCATCACTCACAATCTTTACATGCATCATTTAACATTAGTGTCTTGTTACTATCTACTTCTAAAATTATGTCTTCCAGAGCACATTATCTTTCTTTACAATCAAAATTTGAGATAGCATTTTTTGAATCAGCATGTAGTGATACACTAGAATTTTATCTTGAGTCACAAGTACCCACCCATAAGCAGGCAATTTTTCCTTCATCATACTGGTATAAATTTTTATCTTTTTTACTGTTTATTCTTGTTTTTTAAAATCATTACCATATCCAACACTAGCAATTTTGAGTCCACACCAAAATTACTAAAATCCGTGCTAATTTTTATTTATTTGGTTATTTTTAAGGTGACCTCTATAAAGTTTCCAAAACTATCAACCAACTTAAGTAAATTATTTTCAGGTCAATATGTCTTCTCCCTGATAGTACTTTGAAATTCAGAGTAAGAAGCTGAAATGCTAGTGATGAAGAAAAATTGTAAAGACTTGAATAAAAGGTGACTATATCTTTTCAAAAGTACAAATTTGAAGGGAATCTCACCTCAAATTTGGTATGACTTAAACACTCATTATGGATAAGAGTATCTTCTTCAATTGCAAGTAAGACACAAGCAAAAATTCCTTTGTCTTATTTCAAAATGAAACACTCTAGTCACTATTATTTACCAGTAGACATGGTGAACTGACATTCTACAGGCTAAAGACCAAATTTTATGTGCAACTTTGGTGAAATCATCCATGCTATTAAATAATTTCTTTACATTTCAAGTCCTCTATTAAATTTGTAGGAATCCTTCCTAATGGTGTCTCAGAAAAAGCTACTGGGGTACAGATGAATAGCAGTCTAAGGACAATTTAACCATTACTTTGCTATACATCTGGGGACTGTTAATCTTTTTAGGTGTGAAATACAGATATTTTAAAGAATCTATTAATTCATTAGAACATAGGTACTTAATATTTGGGCAGAGGACTCTGGTGACTCTCATGATATATAATTCTGAAGATCATTCCAAACTAGAATCCCACATGGCTATTAAACCTCCTAAGCACTGGGGGTTGGGAGGTGGCGCAAAAAGGGCTCTTTAGTGAGTTTAATTCAAAAAAGAAACAGTAGCAAAAACAAAAAATAATGCTATAGTTTACAAATTAAGACTCAACATACATGAAATTTTAAGAGTTTGATTTGCAAACACCAAGAATACATTTGATTCTCTTTATAGGACCTTTACTCCTGAGCTCTAATTCTAAGAAAGAACACACATGGGAAAATGGCATAAAATATACATAATACAATAAAATTGTAGGTGAATACTAGAGCATATCTCATCAAATTTTACACACATAAATTAGTTCAAATGGATACAAAGTATATTCTTCTTTTGACAACATTTGCATAACTTTACTATTAAAAACAATTATAGACTCTTAGAATGCCAAAATTGAAAGTAACTATATAGAATGAAAAACTTTATGCTTAAAATTGTGTAAAATGCAATGTCTCAAAGGAAAATTCAGAAATGTTCCTCTTTCAGTAATATTGGACTTTTTAAGCACTGTGAGGAGGCAGGAGAGAAGGAAAAAAAGCAGGAGAGGAAGAAAGGAGGGAAATAGAGAGGGAAAATGCAGAAACTCATTTCTGTTTTGTGTGCTTCAATACAGAATTTACGTATCAGTGAGAATGACGATTATTTTTATATTTCTTCAGCAAAATGAGAGATAAGAATAGAATGCTTCCCAAATGTGAGGTTCAGACCAGGGATGGGTTCTGGGATAAGACAAAGATTTCTGATCTATGGCAAAATTAGAAGAAAAAAAATAAAAGTGACAAGTTTTCATAAAGTTATAATTTACTTAATTTTAAAGAGCTGTCCTTTACATAGATGATTTTTTTGGAAAAGAATAGGAAAATATTTTACAATAGCCAGGGATGGTGGAACTGGAAAGAAAACAAGCAGAGAACTAAAGGAACTACAAGGAAAATACCTGTAGGAAGAATATTCAGTTCAGAAGGTAACAGCAAGACCCTTAGTATATGACTCAAACAGCATGAATTTAGTAATGGTGAATGGTAGGAAATTAAGTCAGAGATACAGGTTAAGAACCAGATCGTTTAGTTCCTTGCAGGTCTGGGGAACTTTGGATTTTACTGTGTGAGACAAGAAATAAGAAGAGATATCTGGAGGCTGTATTTTTAAAACTGACATAATTGGGAGTATGTTTTTAAAAAATGACTCTATTTACACCATGAGGAATGGACTAAGGAGGGAAAAGACTATAAGCAGGAAAATGGGCTAGAAGGATGAAGATGACTTATATTATAGAGGCAGCAGTAGAAGTGGTAAGAAGTGGCTAGGTAAAGGATATACTTTAGAAGAAGAGCCAATTTAAATGACCAAATGTGGCAAATAAAAAGGTATGGTATTCACATTTTCCTCTTGAAAAAGAATAAAGTTTGGTACCTAGAAATCAAAGTCTACTGATTTCAAAGGGAATATGTCAATACTACATTGAATTACTGGCTATACATTAAAGTTGATGTGTTAAATGGAGATTTTAGAACTGGTTAAAACTAAGCCAATACACTTGAGTAAAATCCCAGTGGCTTGAGAGGCTGAGGAAGGAGGATTGAGAGCTCAAAGTCAGTCTCGGCAAAATCGAGGCTGCTAAGGAGTTCAGTGAGATCCTATCCCTAAATAAAAAAAAAAAAAAAAAATATATATATATATATATATATACACACACACACACATACATACATACATACATAGACACACACACACACACAAAGCAGAGCTGGGGAATGTGCCTCAGTAGCCATGTGCCCCTGAGTTCAATTCCCAGTACACGCCCCCCACCCCACCAAAAAATCTAGTTGAAATTAAATAATTTATATTTTCTAATAATTAAATACTTTATACTTCATACTTTCTCTTCAACTAGATATAAAACATTTTAGAATTGTTTCTATGCACAATTTGTCAATTTCGAACAAATGACTTATCAAGGGCTTATAGGTGTAACCTTGTTAACTGACAACCTTCTCTTAACTCTCACACCATATTATAAGGACAAGAAGCAGCAAAAATCGAGATTGTACCAAGAAAGAATGGTAAATGTATATACCAAAAGCAATCTCTCCTAAACCTTTTTTGAACACAGATTTTAAATCTTTAATCAAGACATTTTATCTTCCAAACCCTGATTCTACAAGAACTAAGCAGCATATTCTAAAGCACACAGAAAGATAGCTTATACTAATCCTCTCTACCAGCCTGACTCCACAAAAAGAGCTGGCCTCTGAAAGTGGCGGAGAGAGAATTATGTGGGAGAGCGAAATGAAAGCACTAAATTGGCTGAATTTTCCCAGTATGCTCCCCCCTAGTTATTTAGTTTGGACTAGTTATGAATTCCTAAATTATGGTATTCTTAACATTTAAAAATAGTATTTCAAAGCCAAATGCAGTAAACTAGAATAATAACAGGGAAAAAAAACTGCCAAGCACCAAACTTTAGATAATCTAATCAACAATTTCAGAAAAGACATGTAAAGAGTGGACACTGATACAAGAAAAGAAGAAATGAGAAGAAAAGCCTGGAGCTTTTTAAATTGTTAGAGATATAAAACTAGGACACTTTATAAATGTAACTTGAAAATATATACATGAATATATAAAGACAGACTCAGACTACATCCAAAAAGGGCAGTATTTTAAAATAAATATTCTTCAGCAAGGCCTCTGGAGAGAAACTTTCTCTGAAATTTTGTTATCTGAAACACTATCAAATGTTGGGTGAAGCATGAAATCCTATTCCCTGGAAACCCATCCCGAGGCAGAAGAGTTCTTTCTTAATGGCAAATTTAGGGTGTTTTCTAACTCCCCAGTCTAAACTCAAGGTTTTAGCAGCATACTTTAAAGTGCTGCTAAGCTTTCCTACTTAGAAAGTCTAATTTAGTAAACTGTCAGAAACACTTAAGACTAATTTGCAGAGTGACTTTGTTCTGTTTATCCACCAAGTAGAATTCTTTTTTCATAGATTTCACATTTGTCTGTTTTTGTCATTCTTCCTATCTTCATTTTAGTTTTAGTTCTGGACTAGTATTTTTTAAACTCTTGACTAATGTCCTTTCATATTTCAATAAACATTGTGAGTTTACTACAGAGATTTTGTGAAAATTTGTGTTGATAAAGACAAAGGCTAAATAACAGGCCTAGTCTCGAACAAGTACAAGCAAGGCAGGAGACAAGCCCATAAACAACCAATTACAATGAAAAAATTTCTATCAGTGCTTTGAGAACTCAAATTAAGGGAACATTTAACTCTGAGGAAAACAGAAAGGTTGTATTATAAAAAGAAATAAGGTTGGGACAAACCCTTGGTTGATTAAAAAACAAAAAAAGGGTGAAGTGGGAGGAGGGAGCAAACTTTGGTAAAAGAGAAAACATATGCAAGGACTCAGAAGTGATAGAAAGTCCACGAAACACCAAAACTTTGAATAAGGCCAACACAAAGGCATGTAGAAGAAAAGTAGGCAAAATCTCAATGCTAAGAGGGCAGACAAGGAAGTCAGTTACAAAAAACTAGATGACAAACAGACTTCTATTAACCCTTTATTGCAACCTTTATAATCTTCAACAATTAACCCAAGTTGATAAAATTCTAAATATTCAATTAAATTATCTGTTTCTTTCTCT